AAAGAAGGAATGTTGACTACTATTTCACACAAGTGGCTTTCCCCATTTCTCTTCCTTGGTACCCTGGGACGAATGGAGCTATTTAACAATGACATGAAGGCTGACAAAACATACAGGATGATAACAGGGTCATTCCTTTGAACAGAAGAAAGGGAAGGTGAGGGACTTCTCACAGTAGAAGTTGGGCTCGACAAGACAGCAGAGGAGAGTGCAAGGTCTACTCAAACTTTATACTATTGGAACACAAGGTAGAAGAAAATGCAACTAGGTTTACAGACAGCAAAAAACCTGGGTTGCCAGGAGAGTGAGTTACTTGACTTTTTGACTCAGAGGAATACAAACAACAGTTCTACTGGGTCCAGAGATGCATTTCCTAGGGCTGACTCTTTTAAATAAAGACAATAATATATAGTACAGTGGGGAACCAGCTGCCACTAGGAACTTCACATAAAGACGCGGTCATTGAAACTCTGAAATAATTTTGACTTTCAGCACTTATGAGTCCCATGCAGCTCCACTCCCAGGTGATCATCAAGAAGGGCCTCATTCTGCTCCTCCATGAGTGAACAACACCCCCCCATGGTGAGGGAGAGGGCAGGGGCAGGCATGGCCCACGTGGAGTGGGAGGGGCAGGGCCGGAGCCACAGCTCGTGGTGGGAGGGAAGCGTCTCCCACTGCTGCTTGAACCCCGAGAGGGCACGCCGGGGGCATGTGTGCCCGTGGATCTGGGCAGGGCATGGTGGGGCAGGCTGCAGCCAGGGCTGCATGGGGCTCTTTTCAGTGCGGGCTGGGCATGGGGTGGGAGCAAGCGGTGCTGGGAAGATGCTGCATCCACCCCAAATTTCACTGCCACTCTGCTTCCAGCACCACTGCCGCCAGCCACCCAGCGCAGCTCCGCCTCTTCCAAGCACATGGGTGGATGCAAGGCGTTAAGCTGGGGCTGTGTCGAGCAGCTGAGGCACTGGGAGTGAAGTGGCAGCAAAATCTGGGGTGAATGCAGCATCCTCCCAGCACCACCAGTGCCCACTCTGAGCCCAGGCCCCACCAAGATGAGCCCCGTGCATCCCCGGCTGCAGCACACCCTACCCTGCAAAGATCCAGGGGGGCACACATTCACCCTGTGCCTTCCTGGGGTGCAAACAGCAGAGGGAGCCACCTCCCCCCCACACAAGCCGTGGCTCTACCCCTCTGCCCTGCCTGGGCAGCGTCTGCCCCTGCCCCCTCCCCCTCACTGCAGGGGGCATTATTCTGCTCCCCCATGCCCCTTACTTCCCCCCTCCCCTTCCACCACACCAAACATACCAGCTGGAGACAGTTCTCCACGCTGCCAGCTGTGCTCCTCGCTGCCTGAGTACTGTGTTGCAGCTGCGTGCAGCAAAGGCATTTATCGGCCAAATTATTGGTCCCACTGGGCCAATATCCAATATAGACAGTTTTCGTTATATCAGTACCAATCCGATATCAGACCAATGTATCGGTACACCTCTATACGAAGGCATTTCACAATGAAAGCCAACACAGCTTTGCCAGTGGAATTTTGTGATGTAGACAAAGTTTAACAATCTGTATGGGCTTGTTATGGATTTTCTGTGTGTGTGTTTGTTTCAATGATGTTGGCTTGTTAGTATAGACAGGTACACTGTATCTTGGTATACCAGCAAAACCTCCCAATGATGAGAAAAAGTACTCAACAGGCACACTATATTGCTGTAGTGATGCGCTATGGCAACGTAATAGCATCTGTGAGTGTCTACACATAACTAGCAGCTACTTTGCCCTAGTGGCGCACTTCCCCATTATAGCATGCCGGCTGCTACAGTGGAGTAGCTGCTAAAATAAATGTGTGCCATGCATATGGCCAGTTACTGTGCCATGCTTTAGTAAAGCATGGCACAGTAACAATGTCATCACAGGGCAACATATAGATGCACCCAATATGGCTTTAATCCAGCAATACACAAAGAACCCATTTGCCTCCAACTCCACAATCCACTACGACACTCAACATTAAACCTGGCTTAAAGTGATACAGGAAACCCCTGCTTAGCGCTCTTAATTTGTTCCTGAAAAACCGAATGTTAAGTGAAATGAGCATTAAGCAAAACCTAAAGTATATGATGACCCAAGATGGTGACCGCAATTGTTTTTTATAATCCAAGATGGCAACCGCCAGCATTGTAATGAAACTCGCTGAGTGTTAAGTAAAATCAGGTATTAATTTATAATGAGCATTATAGCGAAATAGCACTAAGATAAACAGCGTTGAGCGGGGGGTGCCTGTATTTTGATCAACAAAATTGGTAAGATAATAGATGAGTAAGGCAGGAGGGGTGGGGGAGAGCATAGTTTCCAGAAAGTATTGCAGTATTAATGATTTCAACTCTGGCCTGCTGTCCCACCAATGCTAATGAGAGCAACTGCTAGGGTCCTGGAAAGATTACAGGCAACATAGTAATATATCCAACCTATACATGGGTGTGCCTCAAAATATGGATATATTCAAACCATTTCTAAATGAGGGTCAGATCCAACACACAGTGAAGTCAATGGAAAGATTCTCTGTGTCTCTAAATGAGCTCTGAACCAGACCAAGTGCATTCAAGAAAACAGGAGGGCTCTTCTGTTTTCATCATCTAAGCAATTTTCAG